ACGGGACTCCAGCCTCTTCCCTCTTCCTGGGAGTCTCCGTCACCCTCTTGTGCTCACTGCTGTCAGCCAAAGAATGGGTGTTTGGGGACACGCGCGTGGATGGCATCACCATAAAGAAAAGCAGGGGATGCGTGACCAAGCCAGAATGTTGTGGGGGGTGGGGGGGCGGGCACACGATTTGGGGCGATTCTCTGATTCTTCGTTCACTCTTGCTCTGCCTGACTACGCGTCCTTCAGCATGCGCGAGGTGTTTCACTCTACATAAGTTATGCATTTCCAAGAGTCCCCCACCCTCCTCCTCCCTCCCCCCGCCACACACAGACAAAATGTCAGAGTAAGAGGAAATCATAGTTACATGCTTGAAATATCTATTATTTTTCCCTGCGTCTGAATGAGTCATTCTTTACTTGAACAGATCCTAAACTTTGGCCATGTTTTCTAGAGAATAGTGCTCGTCTTTATTTCGCATCTGTATGACGGCGTTTAGCGGAGAGGATCTAACCCACGTAATGGAAAACTACAGTGTCCTTTTTGACGATCATTTATTTTAAAACATAGAGACTGGCAGATTTTTTTTCGCTTTCCGATGGCGAACTTGTAATTTAGACAGCACAGCCGTGCTGTTTCTTATCGAAACGCTGAATATGGTCTTTGTGCTTCTACTAACGTCATGAGTCCGACCGTATTGCTATGTTTCTCAAGGCACAACCTATAAAAGCAATTTTCTACTCCACATAAAATATTCATGAGAATACAGGCTTTTTTGTTTGGATGCTGCATTCTTTAAGTAGAGAAGGTTGTATTGTTTTCTTCGGGGAGCTTTGGGTCAAAAGCTCTGGCAGCTTCTGTGGAGAATGCCTGGCCTGTCAAATGGTCTTTGATACAGAAATAGTGCGAGTCGCATATGATACACCCGCCAGCAGCTGGAAAGAAGGGGGACTGTGGCCGTGATCCACCCCCCGCACCCCGGCTGCACCAGGCCTGGGACAGCGGGGCTCCGGCCACGTCGCCCACCCGCCGGGCCCCCTGACTGGCCGCGCAGGAGGGATAAGGAGGTGGCATTTCTCTGCAGGCCTCGCCACGGTCTCCTTGTCCCGTGTCCGTTCCCACACCGCCTCTCGTGTCTACCTGCAGACGCGGTGTTGTTTCCACCGGCGGAAGCCGCTTACGGCGCCGCTGACGTGGGTAATGGGGTAGCTCTTCCTTCTGTGTGCCGTGCTCTTAGCCTTCTTTAGCAGAAGAACGGAGTTTTGTGTGAGTTTTGTGTGGTAAAGCGAGCAGTAGGCCCTCCCTGGCTAAGAAGCGGTCAACGCAAAAGGAACGGTGCAGTGAGAACAGCACGCCATCCCGCGGACACCCGCACGTGTCCCGGCTCTCACCCTCCGCGCCCCGCTCACGGGCCCCCTCCGTCGTGTGCGGGCCCCTCGCCCCCGAGCATCCTCTGACCTCGGCCTTTCGTGTCTGGGGAAGGACTAGCGGGGGCTGCCGGGCAGTGATCCCTTGGAAGTTTCCCTATGCTTCCAGCCTCGGAAGGATCTGGAAAAGGTTTGAGGAAACGAAATGAGCTCCAGCTTGCATGTGGCAGATGTGCACAGCCCGCCTCGGCCCGCTGCTGAGAAGGAAACGTCCAAACAGCCTGGTCCTGCCCCGCGCCCCCACCTGAGCGCTGCTTCCCCTGCGGTGCCCCCCCCCCCCCGCGTCCCCGTGGCAGACACCCCACTGCCCGCCCTTCTGCGTCTGAGGCCCGGCCTCCCCCGCACTGTCACGCGCTCTAGCCCCGCACGGACGCTCCAGGATTTGTGCGTGAAGACCCTGCCCTCTGAGTGGGGGTTGAGTTTTCCGTCAACCTGCATCCCCACGCCCCTCCACGTACACCCTGACCTCCGGCCCTTGTTCACGCTGTGCCCCCGTGTGGATGAACCCCCCCCCCCAGCCCTGTTATAGGCTGGCCTGGGGGTGTCCCCGCACCCAGCACAGAGCAACAGGGCCCCACACAGCTCCCCAGTAAACGAACGTGTTCGTAGAAAAGTTCAGCCCGCCGTGTTTTTGAAGTTACTAAAAAGCTGCTCTGTGGTCAGCACCTAAAGGGATTGACCGCTAGACATTTCCGATGGTCCCCTGAGCCCCTACGTGAAAAATTAGAGTAAGAGGGGATCTGTTGAATGAACAGCAGCCGGGTCTTCTGCCCGGCGGCTCAGGGCCGGGCTCGGTGCCACGGAAGATCTCGGGTCCCCAGGCAAGACGGGACCCCTCGCACATCTTCTAGCGGGGGGCGCACGAAGTGGGGCAGCTGGCACCGCACAGGGCGGCGTGCTGATGTCATACGCCCTCTGTGGCTGTTCACTTAAGCCAAAACACTGTCGCTTCGCCAGGCAACCCGGGGCTGCTCTCACCCGGAAAGGGAGTCGAACCTTCTCGCCGCGAGGCTTACGGGCTCAGTGCGTCGGTGCCTGCGTGGGCGTGTGTGACCCTCCAAGACACAGTCAGGTTTATCCTTAGAGAGCAAAGGCTGACTAACCCGGGGAGGCCTGCCCCGTGCTCACCGGTGTCTGCAGCATAAGAGGCACGTTAGCGGGTCCGCGGACAACAGCCTTCTCGCTGCACCCGTGGCCACACAAGGGTGAAACCGGGTAGCCATCCGCAGTAACGGTGCTTCCGGGAGGCGTCCCGCACGGTCACCCTCGGGAGCGAGGGATCACACACTCCCTTGAGAGAGAAGAGTGGGCGTCGAGTCCTGTAAGGAGCCCAGTGACGCCCTCTTTCCTCCACGTTTGCTCACGGAGCTGTCCTCCCCGCCCTCGTGTGTGTTCCTTAAAAGAGAGTCTGAAGCAAATGGAGGAAGATATTGAGGTTTTTCTACAACTGCTATTTATATGATTTTCCCATTTTTCTATATTTCATAATAAAAATGATCAAGAAAGGCAACTGATAAAATCCAGCCTTTCCCAGCTCCGCGCGGTAGGAATGGGTAGGATAACGCTGCTCCCTGGTCCTTCCTGTTCGTGAAAAACAATTCATTTGTGTAGATTTTGCTCATGTAAACAGCAAATAAAACCCTCTTAATATATCAAAGCTTGATACGCCATTAGAAATAATTGGTTGCATACATTTTCACAGCTGGAGGGTGCATCTCACTGATTGGGGGAAATGGAAGATAAGCAGTCCACTGGCATTTTATCCTGGCCTTGTCGGGGCCCAAAGGATAGGACAATGGAATACTTTCTAAGAGGGTCGAATACGGAGTATTTTCCCACCACCCTCTGGGCAGCTCTGTCTCTTCCCTCTGTTCCCTGGGGGTCCAGGGTGAGGCACTCCTCAAGGTAAAGCTGGTCCAGGCCCTGGGGCCCCTGTCAGCCCTGCCCCATGGGCCTCGGAGAGCTCCAGGCCCTGGAGCCTGAATGGCTCCGGGTCCTGGGGGTGGAGGAGACCGAGATTTTGTGGAGGAGCCGGACGCCCCGTCCTGGGCAGCATCCAGGACTCCACCTATGTGAGCCGCGCCCTGCAGGCTACACGGCCACGTGTTTGTCCGGGACACTGGGGCTCAGGCCAGGTGACTACAACGAGGGCTTCTGCCAGAGCTGGGCCTCTCCCTCAGCAGTGTTTCCTAGCCTTGCCTCATCAGAACGGCAGGGCTGTGCCCGCGCAGTGACCACAGAAATGCTCCGTCCTGAGGGGCGGTTCCACGAAAGCGCCAGTTTACCGGGAGCTCTGGGCTTGTGTGGTTGTGGGGTACCGACTCCCCAAGGAACCAGATGATGGCTGGAGTCGGAGGGCCCTGTAGTCTGGGCATCAGGTCCCAGGGCACGTGGGCGGGCCAGTCAGGAGACCCTGGAACAAGGTCAGGTGCATAACGTGGCCCCACCGGCAAAGGATCCGGCCAGAGGTGGCCCTGATGGTAAGGAACCGGGGTGGCCTGCCTCCGTTGAATTTGAATTCCCACCCGAGTACTGAGCTCCCTGGAGCGGGAGGCCCCAGTCTCCTGCCCCAGGGCCCTGGGTCTGGTGTGTCACTTGAAGAAAGGGGCCAAGAGCAGGTTGAGGGGAGCTCTCTGGAAGGGATGGGGAGCTCCTGGGCCTGTGAGCTGCAGGAGCACGGGGGTGGGGGTGGGGGGCAGCTGCCCCTGCAGGGGACTGTTCCCCCCGCCTGGCCAGAGAAGCAGCACTCACGGCCTGTGCTTTTCAGCCTCGAACCTGCCGTAGGAGGAGTCCCCCCGTGGTTATGGGGTGATGGCCAGAATTTAAAACTTTGTGCACGCTTCTCCTGTCTGCAATTTGATATTGATCTGTAAGCATCAAGACTGATTTCGCTTCTGTTTCTAATGGGAATCACTTGAGCTCGTTTTCGGCAGTACATTAGTAGGAGGAAGAAAATCCACTCCTTGGTGGAGCGCAGCGGCCCAGGACCCTGATGCACGTGCCGGGCGGGCGCTCACTCGCTGGCCGCGGTCGGGAAACACGTTTTCCGGGAGGGCGCGCGCCTCTCCACGGAAGCGCGGGGCTGTCGCGGCCGTCGGGACCCCGTCAGCGGCGCACGCTCTTCTGCGCTTCGCGCACACAGGCCCTCAGTGGCTCCGCGAGGAGGAAGGAGAAAAGCGCAGGCCGGCTGGCCTCTCCGCGCACTCGCGTTGAGCTCTCTTTACAGCCAGCTTCTTTCTCTTTCTCGGGGGACTTTCGGGGACGACGTCAGGGCGGCCGCTGGGTCCCCCGGGGGCCTCTCCTTGCAGGGCGCGGGGCGCGGCGTGCGTCTGGCGGGCGCCTGTCGCGGCCTGACCTCCCACTCGCTCTCACCGTCTCTGCCCTTGACCACCGGACCGCCCCAAAGGCCCGGCCCCCCCCGCGCTTTTGGGCGGGCCGGGGGGGGGGGGGGGGGCGGGGCGGGGCAGCGTGCTTTAGCCCAGGGGCGCCCCTGGGCATCGGGCATCGGGCAGGGGGCGGGGAGGGGCCCGGGGACGCCGTGCCGCGGCAGTGACCGGCGCCTCTGTGCTGTGCTCTCTCCCGCAGTGGATGTGGCCTCCGCGCTGCCTTTGCAGGTCGCGCCCCCGGCGGTGCCCATGGACCTCCGCCTGGACCACCAGTTCGCGCTGCCCGTGGCGGAGCCCACCCTCCGGGAGCAGCAGCTGCAGCAGGAACTGCTGGCCCTCAAGCAGAAGCAGCAGCTCCAGAGGCAGATCCTCATTGCCGAGTTCCAGAGGCAGCACGAGCAGCTCTCCCGGCAGCACGAGGCCCAGCTGCACGAGCACATCAAAGTAAGTGGGGCGGCGGGGCGCGTGCGCACCTGCGGGGGCCTCCCCCGCGCCGGGTTCCTCGGGAGGGGGGCGGGGGGGGGGGGGGGGACCCTGCGCACCAGCCGGACGCCGCGATGACGCACAGGACGCGCCTTCCCCTGCTGACCCCAATCTGCCGGAGGCCCGCCGGTCGGGCTGATTGTGGTGCGTGCAGCGCGTTGTGGGAAAGTCACCGAGGCACAGGGCAGGAGCGGGCTTAAGGGACGCGCTTGACGTTTCATTTCATCCCAAAAGATAACACGTCCCCAAGTAGAAAAATCACCAGCGAGAAGAAACGCCAGAATCTTGATGGACGAGTGACCACCTCTGGGTGGTGCATTTATAAATCCTTTGCATTTCCTTCTTGGGACTGGTCTTTTCTCAGTTGTCCCCATTGATCCTTTAGAATTGGAAAAATATGGCACTATTTTCTTTTCATTTGAATTTAGTAAGAAAAAACTAACAGGTTTATTTCCTTACTTATTTACTGTAGTTAGTCTCTGTAAATATTCATCCTGAGCCCAGGGTTAAAATTAAATACATTGGAAAGAACCACGTGTTAGTAACCAGTAGCAAAGCTGTGCTACATCGTGGACAGATCACTTGTGACAGCTGTGACCATAATAGGCTCCACTGTATTTAGCACCACGGAGAGAAGCACCGTCCGGGAGATACAAACAGGGCAGATTAAAAGCGAGAGAGAATCTTACCTTTCCCGGTAGCCAGCCTGAAACGAAACAGAAACCCCCAGGTTGTATAATTCATCTGTTCTGTGTGACAAAACACCCTAACCTCGGCGATTTAAAGCAACAAATGTGCCTTAGCTCATGGTTTCCGTGGTCAGGAATGAGGGGCAGCCCAGCTGGGGGTTGTGACTTGGGGTCCCTCATAAGGCCAGGGCCGTGAGACCCTCTTCCGGGCTCACTCACGTGGGTGTGGATGGGAGATTCAGGCCTCGTCACCAGCAGAGCCTCCCACAGTGAGCACCCCGAGAGACCAGAACGCCAGGTCCGAGGTGTAAGCCCCAGTGCCTCCTGCGGCCGTCTGGGAAGTGACGCAGCCCCTGTCCTGCCTTATTCCACTGGTCGTGTGCAGCCCTGGTGCATCGTGGGAGGGGCCCAGACAAGGGGTGAGTAGCAGGAGGCAGGGATCCGGGAGTACCGTTGGGAGCCTGGCTACCGGAAGGGGAATGTGAGTGTGTCTTAAGTAACCTCCCGTTTCCAAACTGTTCTTTCAACGTCTAATGTGTTAAAGGTTTTGTTTATACGCATCTCGGGACACCACCGTGGACGCTACGCACGGAGCGCGTCTCCGTGTGGACCGGCTGCATTTCCAGCGCTCCGGGGCCACGCGTGGTCCGTGGCTACTATGCGGGACAGCACAGCTGTGGGGAACTGAGAGCCCTCACCCTGTGCTACTGGATGCCCCCGAGACACCCTTTCCATGGAGACGTGCACGGGCCCGTGGGCGACAGCGCTCAGCCCCAGGCTTGGCTTTGTCAGGTGCCAGCCGGCCCCTGGGCGGTGTGTGCCACGGGGGCCACGTGGAATCGTTGGCGGGTCTGTCTCCTCCTGCTTCCGGCCGGTAGTTTCTTCCTTCACAGGGTCTCAGCCACCCCTCCCGTACCCGTAGAATACCGTTCGAAGTATCCATTGAATGGCCGCTGTCGACGGGGTGGGGGAGACGTGACTGTGCCGGGGCCCGTGGCCTCGCTCTCTGTGTACCCATGCCGGCGGGACCGCGGGGCGAGGCCGCCCGGTGATGTCACGTGACTTGTTGGGCCGCATCACAGATGCGTGAGCACCGCCGGAGGTGCGTCGCGCGAAGGCTGTGTCCTCGGGCCTGGTGGGGCTGGGCCGGGCCGGGCCGGGCCGCGGAGCTGCGTGGCAGGCCCTGGGTCTTGGGAGCTGTGACGCGGCTTCGCTTCTGGGAGTTTGGGTTTGCTGTCGCCGCGCCTGCCGCTCTCGCCCTGAGGCGGCCGGCCCCCAGGGGTCAACACCGGATCAGCCAAGGCCAGACGGTTCCCTGAGCTGTAGGAGTCCCGGCCCCGTCGTCTGGACTGTAGCATTCTAGGTGGCCTGCGGCTGCCTCGGCCACCCGCAGCCGTCGTGACGGCCGCTTCTGACAGGTGTCCTCGGGTGTGCGGTTTGGGGGCCCACGGACCAGGCGCCCCCCCCCCCCCCGGCTGACCCCACGCGTGCGCCTGCTGGTGGCCGCTGTTCTGCGTGGTGGGTGGGCGAGCGGCGGGGTCTGGGTGCGGCGACGTGCCCGTGGGGTCCAGGTCTGTGAGGGCGGCCTCGGGAAGCGGTCGCTTGCCAGCGGGAAGTCACGAGTTGCCGCTCTTCCCGGTGACCGCCTGCGGCCCGTAGGGTGGTCTTTTGCGGCGTGGCAGGAAATGAGAAGAGCCCCTCAGCGGGCCGTTTGTCTTGTCCGTGAGGCTAGAGCCTCCCCTTTCTGGGAGTCCCAAAGGCAGAATCTTGGCTGTCCTGCGTCCGGCACGCGCCTCCAGCCCTGCCAAGCCCGGGTCTCCCCCCGCTCTGTGGCGGCTTGGGCTCGGCCACCTGCGTTGTCACCCCGTCTTGGCATCTGGCGGGTCACTAGTCTGCCTTCCCCCGTCCTTCCAGGCGGGTCCCCTCGTACCCGGAGGCCGGCGGGCCCCGTCGCTGCCCCTCGCCTTTCGAGGCCAGAGCGCCGTGTGCCCCGGAAGGTCCTCTGTCCCCCGGTGACGCGGTTTGCGGCCCCGCCTCTGCTGGCCTGCAGGCCGCGCCCGGCGCCTGGCTGGGGAAGGAGCTCGGGAGCCGCGTCCACCCTGCCCCCCCCGGGGCCCTGCGTGCATGTGACGGGGGCCTGCGCCGCCCGCGGACCCGCGGGGGTGGCCTTCCGTGCCCGCGACGCCGAGGAAGACCACGCGTCAGCTGAATTTGTAGCTGTGGCCGGAAGATGAGAAACCGAGAATAACAAGCGGCTGAGAAGAAACGAGCCCGTGCGGGAGAGGGGTCGTCGGGAAGCAGGAGGAAGCAAGAGACGGGAACTCCGGGACCCGTCGGTGCTGTCACCTTGGGGCGGGACTGGGCTGCCCGCCTGCCTGGGGCCTCCGCCTCGGGGAGGGGCCGGGTCTGGCTTCCCCTCCCTGACCCCTGTCCCCACCTGGGGCTCTAGGGCTTTGTGTCACTACTTTGGAGGTGAAGGGGTCTCCCTCCTGAGTCCTCACATCGGCGCCCGCGAGCTCCAGAGCAGCTACCACAGAGCCTGCGCGGGACCCCCCCCACCCACCCCCGGTGTCGCAGAGCCTGTGCGGGGACCCCCCCCCCACCCGTCCTGGTGTCAGAGAGCCTGTGCCGGGACCCCCTCGTGCCCCATAACCTATGCATTGACACGCCCCCTGGTTCCACAGAGTCTGTGCGGGGACCTCCCCCCCAGTGCCACATAATCTGTGCTGACCACCCCCACCCCCCGGTGCCACATA